CCTCCATTGTCGGACTTGATTGCCTTAATCTTCTTGCCTGAAACATTTTCAACCTCCGCCTTCCAAGTCTTGAACTTCTCATTCACTTCCGACTTGTGCTTCATGAAATATACCCATACTTTCCGGGTTGAATCATCAATGAAAGTGACAAAATAGTGAGAACCACCAAGGGACTTGATGGGGTATGGGCCCCAAACATCCGTGTGCACAAGTTCTAGCTTCTCCTTCTTCAAGGACCGTTTGGTTTTTGTGAAAGACACCTTCTTTTGTTTCCCAAAAAACACATGTCTCACAAAATTTCATGTCGATTGATTTCAACCCCAACAACTTACCCTTTGAAAGCTAGCAATTTCATCCCTTTCTCACTCATGTGACCAAGCCGAGTATGCCAAAGCTTAGTCTCATCATTTGCGGTTGTAGCAATCATGCTTTTACACCCTAAGGTAGTGTACAATGTGCCGGTCTTCATGCCCCGAGCCACCACCATAGCTCCCTTTGACACCTTCCAAGTACCTTCACCAAACATGGTTCTAAAACCGCTTGAGTCTAGTTGACCCACCGAAATCAAATTTTTCCTTAGCTTAGGTATGTACCTAACATCTTCAAGCTTCCATGAGCTCCCACTTGAAGTCTTGATCATAACATCTCCCTTCCCCACAATATCCAACGGTTCATCATCCGCAAGGTACACCTTTCCAAACTTGCCACTCTTAAAGTTTTGGAAAATCTCCTTACATGGAGAAGAATGAAATGAAGCTCCCGAATCAAGGATCCAAGACTCAATGGGACTATCAACACTCAAGATCAATGCATCACCGATTTCATCGCTTGATGCCAAGCTAACCGATGAACTAGCATCATCGTGGTTCTTGTGGTTTGAACCACCCTTCTTCTTGGGATTAGGACATTCCCTCTTAGTATGCCCTTTCACACCACAACCCCAACACACAATGATCACCTTCCCTTTCGACTTACTCCTCCTTCTAGACTTCGATCTTCCTCTTTGAGCACCTCTTTGTTGTCTTCCACGTCCCCTACCTTCACTAGAATAAGCACCACCCGATGAATCACCCGAGTTCTTCCTTCTCAAGCTCTCACTCAAGATTAAGTCCCTCACATCATCACACTTCAACTTCGACTTTCCGGAAGAGTTGCTAATGGCGGCTACAACGGTATCCCAACTTCTAGGCAACGATGACAACAAGATCAAGGCCCTCACTTCATCATCAAACTTAATCTCAACCGAAGCTAGTTGAGAGATTATTGAATTGAATTCATTTATATGTTCGGGGGCGGAACCACTATCATTCATCTCAATTTCAAACAAACGACGCATCAAGAACACCTTGTTCATAGCCGATGGCTTCTCATACATATTGGACAATGCTTTGATCACACCAATCGTCGTTGTCACATCTTTGACATTGTAAGCAACACTCTTAGCCAATGTCAATCTAATCACTCCAAGGGCTTATCTATCCAATACTTTCCACTCCTCTTCCTTCATACCCGATGGTTTACTAGTAAGGGGCAAATATAGGTTCTTTTGATACAAATAGTCCTCTATTTGCATCTTCCAAAACCCAAAATCCTTCCCATCAAACTTCTCAATTCTCAACTTGCCTTCTTCCATTGCAAATCAAACACACAAAGTTCACAATAGGTTTTCAACAACAAAGAATGCAACTTGACACCCAAGACTCAAACTTTGAACACCTAAAGTTCCAAACTTTGAAACTCAATCACAATTTCAAGTTTAACACAAACCCTAAATCATCAAAACACCAAAGATTCAACCTTGGCTCTGATACCAATTGTAAGGATTAAAGTGTTCAACTAACTTGCAATCAACCCACAATAGCAATGAACAAACAAGCATAACAATCAAGAACAACTTTGAAGGAATTAAAGCAAGTAAAAGGAAGACAATGTTACCGTTGGAAAACCCGAGAACCGGGAGAAAAAACCCACCCTTGCACTATGGAGTAATATTGATGATGAATGAACTCAAGAATTACAAGCATGAATTGTATAGAATTCAAATGCTCCTCACAAACCCTCTCAAAACCTCTCTATGTGTTTAAATGTTTGTGAATACTCAACAAAGAGGCTTAGAAAAGGTATATATAGTCTAGGTAGAAAAATACAATCTAACGGCTAAGATTAAAGCAAATCGCACAAGCCGAAAACGAAGCGACGAAATAGGGAGCAGGGAGGTTCGGCCGAACCTACCCAGAGTTCGGTCGAACCTGGGGTGGTTCGGTCGAACCTCCTTGGGTTTGGTCACTCCTCCTCTAGAAATGAAAACTGGTGCACCTACTGACTTAAAACCGGGTTCGACCGAACTTTTCACAAGTTTGGTCGAACCTTAACAATAAGGCAGCTTCATGCAATCTCCTTATGTCTCCATGTATTTATCTATCTCCACACTAATCCTAACAAGATTGCTAGCAGGTTGGGGTTCGAGAAAGTGCACCTTGAATATGATGCTCTTGTGGTAGTTCAAGTAATCCAAAGCAAGAAGTCTGGAGCTGCTCCAGTTTTTCTGATTTTTGATGATGTGTTGCGAATGTGTAATGATTTCTCATGCTCTCATGTAATGCCCATTTTGTTGCAAGATGGGATACTAGTGTCTCACCGGAACAAATTTGTACAAACTCTTTCCCCCAAAGTCTTCAAACTTTGGCGGGCCTTGATTTAGCCAAATATATCCCCTCTTGGGTTCTCTCAAAAAAAAAAAAAAAAGAAAAGAAAAAGTGTCTAAGTTGCTAAACTTGTTAACTTGTGTGAATTGTGATTTAGTTGCTTTGTTCTTCTTCTTATGTTATTTGCTGCAGTAGATTAAGGCTATAAATTATGTTTTATAATGAAATACACTTTGAATTACAATTTTACATAATTACATTAACTTGAGCTAATTGCCTAAGCTGCCTAGTTACTACTCCGTATTGACTAAGACTACTGCTTGAAATATTCAAATATTGGCAATTTTGAGTCTTTGATGAGAGAAATTTTGAAAGTAGATAATTGAAGAATGAAGTTAGAGATTTAGAAATTTGAAGAGTGTAAGTGAGCTTTCTGTAGGTGAACTGGCTTTTGAGATTAGTGTTAATTCTTCCCGTTGCAATGGCAAATGTAGAAAGAATATTTTCTGGAATGACTTAAGTGAAAGATAAATTGCGTAATAGTATGAGAGATCAATTGTTGAATGATAGCTTGGTTATTTATCTCGAATTAGAAGTTAGTATGGACGATATTGTACATCGATATCAAAACATGAAAACTCGTTGTAAACAATTGTAATAATTTTGAAACATTATTAGGTTGTACTTTAAATATTTATTTTTTTCTTGAATGGTTTATTTATGGCCTTTTTTTACTTTATCAAGTGTTGTTATATGTGATTATTTGTTGTCGGTTATTAGTTTTTTAGTCGGTGGTGCCCAATCACTGTTGGTGAATCACTCTATGGAGATGAACAATGTGATGTTTGTTAATAGTTTTTTTTTTCTTCATTATTTTATAGATTTTGACTAGATAATTTGATCCATCTTTTGGTATGATGTGTGGGTTTGAAATCGTTAAAAAAATATATAGATTCTCCGTTTTTTTAATTGCAACGTTGATGGTTTCACGCTTGGTAATGATTCTATAACTAAAATATCTTAAGTTATATTTTTGTAACAATTAGAAATAGTTGATATCATAAAATATTTTTCGAGACGAATCTAAGAAGATCTACTTGACTATATATAGTTTTCCAATATATGAAACACAAAAAACGATCAAAGGAGTGGGTACATACAAATGTTGCAATTTAAAAAGAATGTAGGAACTAGGAAATATAAATTAAATTTTAATAGATACATTCAAATTGGATTACAACAGATAACATATAACTTAATATAATAATAATAATAATAATAATAATAATAATAATAATAATAATAATAAAAAGGTTCTACAAAAGCATTCGGGTTAAAAAGTAAAGCATTTGGGTTTTCATATAATTTGGAGATGAAAGTTAGGGTAACAGGGTTTGATTTTTTTTAGTCTTTGATGAGTTTGTTCGGATATTGGGAGTTTAGAGAAGTAGTTAAAGTAAAAGGGAAAAAATAATTTTCTTAAAAAAAAAAAAAAAAAAAAAAAAAAGGAAATAGAAGAAGCTGGAAAAAATATTTAAAAGGCTAATAAATTAATGTACTTGGAATTAAGGCGCACAAATGTTAACATCAAAATACCACTAAGCCATGCTGCTTTTCCTCTTTCAATTAGGCAGACAAATTATATAATTGTATATCCTTTCTTTTTCGTTTTTTCAAAAAAAAAAAAATAAAAAAATAAAAAAATAAACTTTTTTTTTTCAAATACGCCCCTGAGTATTGTAGTTTTACAAAACGTAAGTACGGAGTATAACATAATACGAAGTACCAAGTAATAAATAAATAAAGTTTTAGAAAATAATATAAATAATTTGATATTGTTTATGAAAACATTTTGTAGTCGGTCTATAACTGATTACTATTAACGCAAAAACCAACCTTACTACATTTTTGTCCTGCTATTATTAAGTCCAAAACAGTCTTTGGATTCAGGAGTATAAAATGATTTATCATTCAAATTAGTAACATGGTTGGACCACCTTTTATAATCAAAGTAGTTTACGTGCTCACAATGAATTCCCAATTAAAAAACGCACAAGAAAACCAATAAATAAAAGTAGAAGTAGTGTTTTCTTGAAGCTGTTAAATGTGGTACCAATTCATAGAGGGAAATATCATACAAGATACAAGTATATGTCCTTGTTTATTTTCCTCTTCTACCTTATTTTGCTTGTTACTAACACCGTTTACGTACAAGTTTTCTTCAACAATTTAAGATATTTTGATACTAGACATAATACATTTAAGGCTCTTCAATGCTTTTTCAATCAAGGGATACTATACAATTAATTCGTCTAGTTTAGAAATTAGATTACGTAATTGGGATAATTTTTCTTCAAGGTGTTTAGCTTAATTACCGAGAAATGAAATCAATCAAGGGATACTATACAATTAATTCGTCTAATTTAGAAATTAGCATACGTAATTGGGACAATTTTTCTTCAAGGTGTTTAGCTTAATTACCGAGAAATGAAATTCGATTCGTAACACAGAGTGACTCAAAAATTTCAAGGAATATTACCTTTAATTTGTCCAAAATTAATAGTATTATTCATTGAGCATTACAACATACAACAAGGAATGCATTATATTATTATACAAGAAGAAAAAAATATAAGAACATTGAACTGTACAATGACTAAATACTATAATCTTCCATTTAAAAAAAAAAAATTAAAAAAAAAAAAAAAAAAGCCCTACTATATAGTCTATAGGATCAAATATGATATACTACTCACAATAGCTAGAAGAGATCGAACGAGGGATATCTCAAGTGGTTAGAGCATCCCTCCTGGGATCAATTCTCGAAATTACCTAACACATAATATAATCAAGGAATTTGTTCATACTGGCGCATAAGCTGCAAAATGGAACAAGCCTTCCTTTGCCCTCTATTAGTCCCATTCTTTGAGATATCAACCAAACACTCATAAACTCCGAATTGAAGCGCCGCGAGCAAGAAGGATGATCCACCATTTAAGCCCAACTCGAGCAGTATAGCTGCAGCCCCTTCTTTATTTTTAGGTGTACCATCACCCCCCATAAATTCAACCAAAGCTTGTATAAACGGAAGTTGTCCGTGTTGATAAGTATATTAGGTGACTCGTACTTCGTAGCTCTGTCCGCCCGATCGGGCGGACATTGCCCGGTCTGACCGGGCGGAAGAAGAAGAGGTGCCTGGCAAATTCGTTGAAGAAGCTGCTCTCGCGCCCGACCGGGCGAGCCTTCGCCCGACCGGGCGAGCCTTCGCCCGATCGGGCAGACCTTGCCCGGTCTGACCGGGCGGTGGGGGTTGGATACGTTGAAGCATTCGTATGGAGTTTTCTTCTCGCGCCCGATCGGGCAGACCTTGCCCGGTCTGACCGGGCGGAGAAGGAAAAATACGGAACGCGGATTTTGCGGTTTTAGGTTATCTTATTTTATTATCTTTTTGCCCAAGTATCTTTTAATTAGGGATTAATATAAAACCTCCCTAATATCAGTATTAGGGTGAAGAGAGACAGAGTGAGAGCCGTTCTTGAGAAATACAAGAATCATCTTTGTAATCTTTGCAGTTTATAGTGAAATCATTCGATCTCGGTGCCCGTGGACGTAGCTATCACATCGATAGTGAACCACGTAAATTCTTGGTGTTGTTCTTATTGTTTGCATTGAATTTCTTTATTGTTTTCTTGTTTGTTTACGACCTTTGCTTCCGCTGTCGCACAACAATTGGTATCAAGAGCTCAGGTTCAATCCTTGGAGAGTTTCTTGAAGATAACAATGGCAGGAGATTCAACAATAAGAATTGAGAAGTTTACCGGGAAAAATAGTTTCGGGCTATGGCAAATTAAGATGAAGGCTCTGTTAAAACAACAGCAGATATGGCGTCCGTTGGCTCCAAAGAGTACTACTTCGGAGTCAGGAGACGGACCGACTGACTCGCAGTTAGAAGTTATGGAAGAGAAGGCACACTCTACCATATTACTTAGTCTTGATGATCAAATCATCACGGAGGTTGCTGATCAGGAAACGGCGGCTGGATTGTGGCTGAAGCTGGAGTCATTGTATATGACTAAGTCGTTGACCAACAAATTATTACTGAAACAGCGGTTGTTTAGCCTCCGGATGCAGTCAGGTACTTCCTTACGGGAACATCTAGAAAAACTTAACTCTATTTTGCTTGATTTACGTAATTTAGATGTTAAAATTGATGATGAGGATGCTGCGTTGATTTTACTTGTATCTCTACCGTCTAGCTTTGAGAATTTTGTAGAGTCTTTTGTTGTTGGTAAGGATTCTATAACCTTAGAAGAAGTGAAGGCAGCACTTCATACTAGGGAACTCAGAATGAAAGCTACGAGTGATAATGGGGATAATGGTAGTGGGTTATTTGTTAAGTCCGGAAAGTCTAAAAAGAATAAGGGGTTTAACAAGGGGAACAATGCTGGGTCGGGTGCTGGAAACGGCAAGGATGGATCTAGTAAAACTACTACTAAAACATGTTATTACTGTAAAGAACCGGGTCACTTTAGGAATAATTGTCCGGTGAGGAAAAACAAGTCCCAGGCTGCTGTAGTTGAAGAGAAACCGAATGAGAGCTATAATTCAGAGGAAGATTTAGCATTAGTCAGTTCTGCTAGGTCTGATGATTTATCTGATAACTGGGTTCTAGATTCGGGGTGTTCGTTCCATATGTGTCCACGTCGAGATTGGTTTGATACATATGAACCTCGCAATGGGGGTATGGTTATAGTCGGTAACAATGCTCCATGTAAGGTCACAGGTATTGGTTCCATGAGGTTGAGGACTGTTGATGGGCGGAGGTTAACTTTGACTAATGTACGGCATGTTCCTGCTTTAGGAAAGAATCTGATTTCATTGGGTACCCTGGATGAATTGGGGTACAATGGTGTGTTTTCAGATGGGGAGTTGTGTATTTTCAGAGGTTCTGAGTTGGTACTTAAGGGTATCAAAAGGAACACCCTCTATGTTTTTGAGGGTGTTACACTGCCTAGTTCTGCGGTTTGCGCATCTGTATCTCACCAGGAGATGACTAAGATTTGGCACATGAGGCTTGGTCATATGGGGGAGAAGGGGATGCAGCTATTGTCCAAGAGGGGTCTTCTATCCGGGGTCAAGGTTGCCAACCTTGAATTTTGTGAGCATTGTGTGTTTGGTAAGAAACACAGGTCAAAGTTCAGCAAGGGTGCTCACATTACTGATGCAGTGCTCGATTACATCCATTCAGATTGCTGGGGTCCATCTAGAGTTGAAGGTATGGGAGGTTACCACTATTTTGTGTCATTTGTTGATGACAAGTCCCGATACACATGGCTTAGGTTGCTTAAGTCAAAGGATGAGGCCTTCAAAGTTTTCAAGCAATGGAAAGCTTTGGTGGAAAATCGACAAGGAAGGAAGATCAAGAAGCTACGAACGGACAATGGGCTAGAGTTTTGCAAAGACGAGTTTAATCAGTTCTGTGCAGATGAGGGTATAGGTCGGCATCATACTGTCAGGAAGACACCACAGCAGAACGGTGTAGCAGAACGGGTTAATCAGACACTGCTAGAGAGAGTCCGATGCATGCTCTCTAATGCAGGGCTTGGGAGGAGGTACTGGAGTGAAGCTGTGTTAACAGCTTGTTATGTCATTAATAGGGGTCCTCATTCTGGAATTGATTCCAAGATTCCGTTTGAGATCTGGAGTGGTAAGTTGCCTAATTTTTCGAATTTGAAGATTTTTGGTTGTGTTGCTTATTATCATGTTATTGAGGGTAAGCTGGATCCACGAGCCAAGAAGGGGTGTTTTGTTGGGTACGGGGATGGTGTGAAGGGGTTTAGAATTTTTTCACCTTCGGAGGGTCGGGTCATTCTTAGTAGGGATGTTACTTTCGATGAAAACACCATGTATTCAATTAAAAATGCAGAGATTTCAGATTTGAGAAGGGAAGGAGACAATTTATTACAGACAGATGGGGTACTTGAGGTACATCAGTCTACCATTGCTGATTTACCTCGGGTACAATATATTGATGATGATGCTGATGTTCCAGTGCCGGGTACTCCTGAACCTGAGATTACTCCTACTCATTCTAACTCTGGGGATGAGGTGGAGCAATCTAATCAGGGGTCATCTAGTCAACCTGACACCATTCTTGAGATGCCTAAACGAGTTATCAAGAAGCCTGTTAGATTGATTGAAGAGATGGAGGGAAGAAATTGCTGTGTTGATGCGATGACAGGTTATGCATTGAGTGTAGCTGATGATGTAGAGTCATTTGAACCTGCCACATATAAACAAGCAATTAGTTGTAGTGAGTCTGCGCAATGGCTTGCCGCAATGGGTGAAGAGATGCAGTCCCTTTACAAGAACAGAGTGTGGGAACTGGTAAAGGTACCGGAAGGGAGGAAGCTTGTGGGTTGTAAATGGATTTACAAGAAGAAAGAAGGGTTGTCGGAAACTGAGCAAATACGTTTTAAGGCTAGGCTAGTTGCTAAGGGGTTCAGTCAGGTAGAAGGGGTTGACTTTGTTGAGATATTCTCACCTGTGGTTCGACATACTTCTATCCGTGTGTTATTGTCAATTGTAGCACATTTTGATCTTGAGCTGGAGCAGTTGGATGTTAAAACGGCCTTCCTTCATGGCGATTTGGAGGAGGAGATTCTGATGAAGCAGCCCGAAGGATTCGAAGCTCCTGGAAAGGAACACTATGCCTGCAGATTGCTAAAGTCATTGTATGGACTTAAGCAATCCCCCCGACAGTGGTACAAAAGGTTTGATTCTTTTATGGTTTCACAAGGTTTTGACAGGAATTCATATGATTGCTGTGTGTATCATAGTAAGCTGGATAATGGTTCCATGATTTATCTTTTGTTATATGTTGATGACATGTTGGTTGCCACAAAGAATAAATCTGATATTGCTAGATTAAAGGAGATGCTTAACTCGGAGTTTGACATGAAAGACTTGGGTGCAGCTAGGAAGATTTTGGGTATGGAGATCTACAGGGATCGGGCTAGAGGTAAGCTTTTCTTGACTCAGAAAAGCTACATTGAAAAGATTTTGTCTCGTTTTGGGATGGAAAAATCGAAGCCTATAAGTACGCCAACTACTGTTAGTTGTAAGTTGTCTTTGTCTATGTCACCTCAATCAGAGGAGGAGTTGTCTTATATGTCTAGAGTTCCATATGCAAACGCGGTTGGTTGTTTGATGTATGCTATGGTCTGTACTAGGCCGGATATTGCGCATGCTGTTAGTGTTGTAAGCAGGTTTATGGCTCGACCTGGGAGGGAACACTGGCAAGGGGTGAAAAGGATTTTTCGCTACCTGAGAGGGACAGCTGATATTGGTCTTGTGTACGGGAATGGTAAGGAATGCTTGGTCACTGGGTACAGTGATTCTGATTATGCAGCTGATGTGGATACCAGGAGGTCTGTGACTGGTTATGTGTTCACTTTGGGTGGTTCTGTGGTTAGTTGGAAGTCTACATTGCAGTCATCAGTTACGTTGTCAACTACTGAAGCTGAGTATATGGCTCTAACTTCTGCAGCTAAGGAGTCTATTTGGCTCAAAGGCCTAGTAGGTGAACTGGGTATTGCACAGGATTTTGCTACAGTGTATTGTGATAGTCTAAGTGCGATTTGCTTAGCTAAAGATCAAGTACACCATGATCGGACGAAGCACATTGATGTCAGGTATCATTTCTTACGTACTGACAAGAGGATTAAGGTGAAGAAGATTGGGACTGCTGACAACCCGGCTGATTTCTTCACTAAGCCTGTTCCGTTTAGCAAGTTTAAACATTGCTTAGACTTGCTAAATATTGATTACTACGTGATGTAGTAGGCCCTGAGGGGCGAAGTTGGGGAGCTCCTGGTGTAGGTGTGTTGGCATTAAGGTGGAGCTTGCCCGGGGCTTGTGATGCAGGTGGAGCATTATGAGTTGTTATACTTGGAGACGAGTATGTGATGGGTCTTGGTTGAAGACTTATCGGGATGTATGGCTTATGCATGAGTCCTGCATCGGGTTTGGCTTGAGATGTTTTTTCACTATGTCTTGATGGGGTCGTTTGCTGACTACGAGTTCTCGTCAAGGTGGAGATTGTTGATAAGTATATTAGGTGACTCGTACTTCGTAGCTCTGTCCGCCCGATCGGGCGGACATTGCCCGGTCTGACCGGGCGGAAGAAGAAGAGGTGCCTGGCAAATTCGTTGAAGAAGCTGCTCTCGCGCCCGACCGGGCGAGCCTTCGCCCGACCGGGCGAGCCTTCGCCCGATCGGGCAGACCTTGCCCGGTCTGACCGGGCGGTGGGGGTTGGATACGTTGAAGCATTCGTATGGAGTTTTCTTCTCGCGCCCGATCGGGCAGACCTTGCCCGGTCTGACCGGGCGGAGAAGGAAAAATACGGAACGCGGATTTTGCGGTTTTAGGTTATCTTATTTTATTATCTTTTTGCCCAAGTATCTTTTAATTAGGGATTAATATAAAACCTCCCTAATATCAGTATTAGGGTGAAGAGAGACAGAGTGAGAGCCGTTCTTGAGAAATACAAGAATCATCTTTGTAATCTTTGCAGTTTATAGTGAAATCATTCGATCTCGGTGCCCGTGGACGTAGCTATCACATCGATAGTGAACCACGTAAATTCTTGGTGTTGTTCTTATTGTTTGCATTGAATTTCTTTATTGTTTTCTTGTTTGTTTACGACCTTTGCTTCCGCTGTCGCACAACAGTCCGATTTCTTGCCTCCCTTGAGGGTGTGAAACAAGGAGCAACAAAATCGACAGGGCCTCATCGATCATGCCTAGCTCATTATCTTCGAGCAAATTTAATAAGGGCTTAACAATCCCTGCCTCGACAGCTCGAGCTTTATTCATGGTGTTTAGGCTTAAGTTAAAGAGCGCGGTTGCTGCATCTCTTTTCCCTCTAATTGTACCATTAGCTAACAGGTTTACCAACGGAGGTATCCCATCTGATAATCCAATAGTCACTTTATTTTCATCTAACATTGAGAGACTAAATAAAGTAGCTGCTGCATTTTCCTTGGATCCTACGTTACCATTTTGCAGGACTTCTATGATTGTAGGGATCGCACCATGTTCAGTTATAAGCTGCTTGTTCGTGCTATCAATAGATAAATTTAGTAACGTCGTAACAGCATGTTCTTTTGTTTTTGAATCCGGGTTTGACAGGAGTTGGACTAAAGGAGGGATCCCTGAACTCTCGGCAATAAGGATCCTATTTTCAGGGCTTTCTTTAGAGAGCAATCGGAGCTTGTGGACAGCTTCCCGTTGAACATCTAGGTGAGTCGAGGAGAGATCTTGGATGAGTGGAATTATGGTGGATTTGTGTCCGGGTGAGGAAGGGTCATCGGTTGCTATGTCAGGGGAGGATTGATCTTTTTTTCGCGGTAGTTGAATCTTGTTCTTGTCACACCATTGTATGATGAGATTCTTAAGTGCATAGTTTGGGGCTAAGGATAGGTGTTCTAATACTTGTCCTGATTTTGGACATGTTCTGTGATTTGAGTCTAGCCATTTCTGGATGCTTTCCCTTTCATATGTCTACATTTTTCACAACAAGAAAAAAAAAATAGCTTAGACAAAAATAAAAATAACTAAAACTAATATTACACATTGTGTTAAGAGATTTTATATATAACAGTAACATCATTTTGATCAATTATACAGTACATACAAAAACATAGTGTTTTTTTTTTTTTTTTTCATAAATATATGTAAAAGCTTTATGTTTTGATCGATTACTATATATTGTGCCGAACTAAGACTTCAGATTAAAACATAAAACCTTGTTTCCTGTATTGTATTAGTCCAATCAAGTATGTACCAACTATATTTCAGACCATTCATACATTTAATTACATTTATACAAGTAAAATTGTTTTAAACAATGATATATTTAATATACTCATTTAGATGAATCTAGAAAGATCACACATGACCGTCTTTTTCTTGCAAGAAAATTATCACATACTACGTATTAATTAAGGTAGAGAAAAATTTAACTTTCAATCAAAATGAAAAGCAAATAAAATGAAATTAACAAAAAGATAGAGTTACCTGTCCAGTGGCAACAATAACAGGATCTGTCATAATTTCTAGAGTGATTGGACAAAGAAATTCTTGGGGTATTTCTGTAGTAGGACTTTTGATAATTTGTTGTTGTTCTAAGGGCTTATTTACATTATGATCTTCAAGCATTAGATTGGTTTCTTCAATTCCAGCAATTTGTTTGAATTTATTAAGGACATCTAAGATAACTTGCATATGTTCTTCAGCTCTTTTATCTTTTGCAAGCCTTCTCACAGCTTTAGTTTCTTCCTTTAATTCCTCGGATGTCCCTAATTCGAGCTTTTTTGCTAGCCTCTCTAAGATTGCAATGTCGGCGTTTCGTTCATCTTCTTTGCTAAACACAACCATCATATCCATGGACAACTCCAAGTCTTGTGTGTCTGTTCTTCTTTTGGCTCTCCTAAGTTGGTGCCCCATTAATTCCGTCTGTTAAAAAAAATTGTTCATCAATTTCTTTCTTGTTATTATTTTATCAATGTCTTTTACCGTACGAAATCATGTTAAGTTACAATACCAAAATTATTTGATAAACAAACAACTTTCTATATTGGGTGTATTATACTATGCGTTACCTTGATGATCGATTATTTATGGTCACATGTTGGCATAGAAAACAAAATTTAACTCTCTGTGATAATAGTACAAAATTTACCTGTTCTTTCACCTCTTCTGATATATTTAGATCTTGGTAAGGAATCTCATCCAAAGCTTGGCTTAATTTCGAATTCACTGAATGAAATATTCCCGTAATTGCCTCACGTTCAAGGGCCTAACGTACAAGATCCACGATTCAAATTAAAAGAAAACAGTTTTTAAATAGATCGATCAAATATACATGCATTATTATGAATCATATATTATAAGACCCCCTCTCATAACGATAAAAAGTGTATGTGTGCGTGCGCGCGTGTATATATGTAGAAAGATGAATGTATTAGCTAATTAATAGGAATTAGTTCTAACCAGATAAATCTTGCTACCCTCAGAACAAGTTTTTAACAATTTTTTGGCAGATAAAAGAGCCCTTCGCAAATTACAGAAAGAGGCATGAGCTGAATTTGAAAGAGGTTCATTAATGTCCCTAATCTCTTCCAAAAGAACTTCCATAATCTTGATTCGTCGAACGAGGTTTTGGCTTTCCTTCCTTTGAGTAACTCTATAATCACCCATTAATCCAAGTGATTCTGTCAAAACCTTTAAATCATGAATAATGTCTTTGCCTTCTTTTGGAGTAAAAATCATAAAATTATCTTCTTCGAGCATAATAATTTCCGCCGGGCTTACATTTTTTGTGTTTCCGATCCCTAAGGTTGGAATTGGACAATTTAATGTTAAATTTGGAGACGACTTACAAAATTTGGGTTTAAACATCTTGTTATTGATATGTAAAACCTTTTGATTGATTAAGTATCAGTTTTTTTTTTTTTTTTTTTTTTTGTTTGGTAACCACAAATTGAAAGATAAAGAAACTCAAAACCAAATGGATTGAGAAGGTGATGATAAAGTTTAGTTCTTGATGATGCTGCTTGAGAAAAGGAAATTTTCGCGGTAATTTCGGTTAGTTTCATTTAGAGGTTGTTATTATTTTACTTAAGATTGTGAGGCTGAGATGAATATAAATGTTTTTTAAATGTTAGTTGAAAGTTCGTTATCTTTAAATTGACTTGGATATATGCTACAAGCTTTTGTTCCTTTTTGATGTTATATATACAAGCATTTTGCTATAACTTAGCATCCTTTAATTTACTCTTTAGTCTTTTATTTTGATTTTGAGAAATTAATGTGATTTAGTTGTCATTCATGTATTTATTTTATGACAATATCAACCATCAATTTTTTCTATAAATACGTCGTTTAGTTTAGCCATTGAATGCACGATAGTATTATTTTTTCCAAATATAAATAGAGATACGGTTCTTAGGTAACTCAATATTATTGTCAACCTTTTGTAAGTAGAATCATGCAAAGACGAACTTAAGAAATTCAAAAAGATGTGATAAATGCAGCGAAAATGAACATAAGATTTAAATCTAAAATTTCTTTTTAAAACAAATTTAGCTAACATGATGTCTTAAATATATTTTTGCATCAATATTTCAATTTAATTAGATATATATAGCTTTTTTCAGAAAGAAAAGCAACGACTGGAGTGGGAGAGTCAGAGTCGAAAAGAGGATTCCTCACTTCTTTCTCTCATTCAAAACCATGGGGCGAAAGCCTGACGGAGCAATGCCGCGTGGAGGTAGAAGGCCCACGGGTCATGAACTTCTTTTCCCAGAGAAGAAGCAATGACGGAGCTAATAAAAAGCCTGCAATCCCATAGAAAGACATCACGATCCCTTGTGGAAAAAAAAGAATTTGCTAGGGAGGAAATAAAGATCAACTTGTCTATTTTGTATATATTATATATAGTTATATAAACCATGAAGATTTGAGTTGGGATATTGAAGATGATGATGAACCTATTAAGAAAAGTTAGAGAAGGATGTGTTATAGTGTTATAATTTGTGGTTACATGAGCATTTGATTTTTAAGAATGCAATTGTTATTTGAAAGCTCTGATATGCTTATAGTCTATTGTCATGTAATTGCTTAGTTTCCAATATATGCATTTAGTTTAATTCTTTTGTGTGGTTTTAGTCCTTGAGTTCATTGTATAAAGTATATGATTTGCTAAGAATGCTTTGTCATAAACAATTCGAAATTGAATACGAAGTACATTGCAAGAACAAGTAGTAGTATATTGATTCAAAATGTTGGAATTTGAATGAGATAGTAAGGGTTGAAATTTTCAGAGAATTGGGAGTTGCTAATATTGCTATCTTAGAGTGCCAAATTCATCAATCAATTATTGATTAATAGAAGAGTCATGGTACGATCTTTATGACTACAAATAATGGATTCGCCGTGGATTATAGCTTGGTCGTTGTCGTGATTATTGATTAGTAGAAGAATCATATGCAAATCTGTGTAATAACCAAAATACTACAACTGTATATTGGAGATTGTTTTGGCTATGTTAATTCGCTACCTGATGTCGTAGTAAATTCGATAAAATCTTAGCCCAGACCTCACTGCTTTAGCTCATAGTTCTCACGGAATGTTTTTGAATCAGTGCAACGTACAACAGATTATATAAGGGTTATAGCAGAAAGTGTACAAGTGTACAGAGGGATATGGAAGGTGCATCTTAACTTGTCAAGCGATCATCATTGCTCAGGTTGTGTTATTATTACTCAATGAGATAATGAATCATTTTGCTGCTGAAGCCCACCAAGGCACCAAATGCACAGCAACCTGCGGTTAGTCCTATACCAGAATTCTCTTTGGCCCGTTAATACTAGAATTGACCAGGGATTCACTGTAAATGCTGTCTTTGCTCGTTATTGCCAATATATTGGTCTGCTTCCTTACATTTATCTTGGAATGCCTGCAAAGCATTGATAGATAAAAGGGTCGTGTATGCTCTTTTAAGGACTAGCTAAAATGCTCTGACTGCAGTGGAGAAGGAGAAGATAGATTACCTTTGTCTGTGCTGATCTACTTTAAGTAGTTATAGTATTTACTGTACTGAATCGCTCTACATGATAGTCTTATTGTTTTAGCCGAAGGACACTAAATTTCATTAATTAAAGTCATACGGTATCTACAATTGACAATTAATGATAATGAAAACGAATTTAACAAAATCAAACAAGAATTAATCGGGAAGGGCTAAGAATCCTAATACATAAATATAACAATTCGGCACATTCTCGATTCGTTGTCTCATACAATTTTTTGAGTAGATCCGTCGTCGCTTCGCACTTTTGTGAGAAAGTAAATTCTTGTGTTGATTCCGTAACCCGAATCCGAGCCATAATCAATCGTAGCCCCGCACAACCGGAGACCAAATTAAACATAAATAAAACCTTGTCTTTCGAAGGAGTCCGAAAAACCTTGTCTTTCGAAAGAGATCGAAAAAAATCTTGTTTTTAGAAGGAGATAAATACTTTCTTTCGAGGGAGACCATTATTGTAACCTAAGAAACAAAAAGCCTAAAAGAAAATAAAGATTGGGGCTTTTCACCGATAAAATCCGATGAAAGACGTGGATTATTTTTTAATCAATACAACTATAACTTCCCATATCCTTTTACGAATCTTACCTATAATTAGATGTATAGCAGCTGATATAGGCTAATAGCGCAGCTTAGGTTGTAGCGTTAAGCTAAGAAATATACAGAGACTAGAATATCTGCAATCTGACCTTATCCAGAGAGTCTACAGATTTGTGTGAAGAGAGAAAGAGGATTATGTTAAGGGAAGAGATGAAAAACAGGCGGTAAAGCATTGCTGAAGATTGATTGGTTGATTAATTTGTAGGCTAATTAGTAATTACTAATTTTACTAGTACCGCGCAAAAACATTGTAAACGCTGTTTTTGGTCTAAAACAATATCTACAGTTGTGTTAGAGTGTCTTTGATTCAACATGGATACTTGGATTGTTGGGCAAAATAATTCGTCAAAATAACTTTATATATTACTAGGTTACTCTTACTTCATAATGTAATATGCATTTGTGAATGTGTTTTTATATTTGCCAAAAACGATTTCTACAAAAAGAAGTATTTTAGAATACCTCATTTTTTTTTCTTTTCACATTCCTTTTCTTCCTTTCCAACCCTTGAACCCTTTTTCAAATGCAACCAGACAAATGATTTATGCCAACAAGACACAAGGAGGATTGGTGTGTTCATGCGAAAATCATTTACTCTAGAGTATTGTCTGTGGCAACAAACACAAATTTTTTACCAAGTAAGGCTTGGCCTATAAGGATTTGGCCTTGTGACTTAAGCCTGGTTTGGTAAAGTATTTTTTGAAGAATTTTTAGTTTATTGAGACATATTAAAGGTTTGCCCATCTTATAAAGCTAATTTCACTGTTTTGTAAATAGGTGGGAAAAAAAAAAAAAAATCATAATTACAAGCTTTTTGAAATTAGCTAATTGAACATTTAGATTTTTGGTTATTATATACACTGAAACAACTACAACTATCAAATATGTACCAAACATTTTTACACAATCAACAATTTACAACCAGTCAGATCTCTAATACAACCAAACAGTCAAACCAGTAAATACAACCCGCAATATTAATCAACTACCAACTAATTACCAAACGGGGCCTTAAAAATCCTGGGATCAAATCTCATTAGGGGCTTTTATGGGGTGAGGTTTCACTTTATCCTTATGGCTTGCCCTTTCACCTTCGATGAGTTTGATTTGTAAAGTTAAACTAGCTTGACCTGTGAGATATGCCCGTTAGTAAAATATTTCAATCTTTACAATTTTGTTAGTAAAATATGGGAGTTGTTAAAAATCGCCCACAATTCTCTACTTAAAGCCCACAATTTTTAAAACTTTGACAATCTTGCCCTTTTTTAATTTTTACCGAAAACGAAATTTTCTCTCACCAAAAATGTGGAGCAGCACTGGATCGTCGAGGGACATCGAAGAGCCATCATCGTCGGCGAGATACACCAGAGAGCCGCCATCGTCGCCGGAAAACGAGGTGCTTAGCGGTTTAAAATTACGAATTGGTGCCAGACGTCTAGTCGGGACGCCGCCGCCGTGGGTTTGGCGCCTGGCCGGGACGCCGCCACCATGGTAGTGGCGTTTGGCTGGATCGCCACTACCATGGTGGCGGCGTCCTGGCCAGGCGCCCCAGCCATGGTGGCGGCGTCCCTGCCAAGCGCCACCTCAACAATTAATTTTTTTTTTTTAATTTTATTTAAAGTTTTGTTTTTGTTTTTGTTTTGTTTTTTTTTTTTTTTAAATTTGATAAATTTGAAATTATGTTTGAAATATGTGTGAATAATTTATAAAAAAAAAATAAAAAAAATTATGGTTTAATTTGAAATTATGTGGTAATATGTGTTAATAATTTCAAAGAATAAACAAATTTATAATTTTGTATGTGTGTGAATACTTTTGTGTATAATTACGTGTTAATTTTGTGTAAATTAAGAAATTAAATGTATTATGCGTTAAATATAGAAATGAAATTTAGAAATTACTTATGTGTTAATTTTTTTTTTTAACTTTGATAAATTTGAAACTAAATATGTGTTAATAATTTTTTTTATAAAAAAAAAATTCATTTGAAATCATGTTTTAAATATGTGTTAATAATTTATACAAAAAAACAAAATTATGGTTTAATTTGAAATTATGTTTTAATATGTGTTAATAATTTCAAAAAATAAATAAATTTATGTTTTAATTTTTTATGTGTGTTGAATACTTTTATATATAATTACGTGTTAATTATGTGTAAATTTAAAAATTAAATGTATTATGCGTTAAATATAGAAATGAAATTTAGAAATTACTTTTGTGTTAATTTTGTGTCAAATGTATTAATTTAATCTTTATGTAATTATATTTATATGTCATCGTTGCAGGATTATGGTGGAGACGGAAATGATTATAGTGGGATTTTTGTACGTGATGGTCTGTTCGAAGATGCTCAACAAGCGATTGATTGGGCAAAACAGGTTGCAATTAGATTAGGTTTTTGTTTAGTAGTAGCAAGTCATAAATCTCAACGGGATGGTAGAATGGATCGCATTTTGAGATGAGACCGTTATCGCAAAAGGGAGGAACGAGATTTCAGTCAAGCGATTCGGTTTGATACAAAGCGGATAGGTTGTGGGTGTCAGTTCAGAGTAAAGGTTCGAGAACAG